GTTGTATGTAGTATCTGTCGGAACCGAGAGTATGTACGTGTCGTATGTAGTATATAACAATAATCAGGTAGTATATATACTAATTTTTAGGTAGTATGTATCACTTTTTGAGTATGCTTATTTTTACGTACAAATATGTACGTATTTTACAAATATAACAAAAACTATGAGTTCATATGCAATTTTTTCATGTAACTTGCTTTGAAATATCTTAGATATAGTATATGAACATATTTAAAATAATAAAATAGTATATATAATACCACATGGTAGTATATGAGACATGTGGGGTAACTACCACCGGGTGGTAGGATGGATTTTCCCTATATATATATGTATATATATATATATATATATATATGTATATATGTATATATATGTATATATATGTATATATATATATATATATATTCTAAGGCCTTGTTTGGTTCAGCTTTTATCGACGGATCGCAGCGGAATCTGAACCAAAGGGCGAACCCAGCAAAATCCGATTCCAGAAATCCACTCCCAAAATCTGAACCAAAAGCGAAAGTAGCCCAGAACGTGCTTTCCAAAATCTAAGGGCATCTCCAGCCGCGCCCCCAGGAAGGCTTCCCCAGGCGATTTTTTCGCGTCGGCGCCAAAAAACGGCCCAGCCGCGCCACCAGGAGCCCGATTTTTGCCGACCTAGGCCGAAAACAGCGCCGGCGGACCCAGGCCGAACCCGGCGCGCTGGGGGGCGCCCGGGGCCGCCGGGGCGAGCTGTTTTGGCGCGAAAAAGCCGCGGGCCAGCCGCGTCAGCGACACGGCGCCTCGTCTTCCCCCAACGGCCTCGGTTCCCACGGGGAATCAATGGCAAGGCTGCCGCCGGTCAGCCTTGCCATTGATTCCTCACGGGCGGCGCGTCACGGGACGGCGCGCCGACGCCTCCCCTTCCTCGCACGCATACACACGGGTGCGGCGCGGCTATATAGCCGGTGGCCTGCACTCGCATGTGCCCACACCAACCCCGCCCATCGCCGCCGCCCAGCCCCTCCCTCTCCCTACCTCTCCCGAGCGCCGCCGCCCAGCCCCTCCCTCTATCTCTCTACCTCTCTCGAGCCCGTCGCCATGGCGGAACGCTTCCCCAGAGATGAGGCGGTGGCCAACGGCTTCGGTCGCCGTTCGCTCCGCGAACAGGAGTCCTGGCTCCTGTTCCAGGCGAAAATCCCGGCGCCGCCGGACATGCGCGCCGGACCGACGGGGTGGAGACTCAGCGTCGGGGGAGTGCCCATTCCCCCTTTGCCCGACGCCATGGCGAAGCCGAAGTACTTCACCGAGGAAGTCTAGGTCGTGCGCGCCTCCCTCACCGATGCCCAACTCTCCCTCCCCCAGTACGTCGCCGACAACCACGCGGCTTGGGCGGCGTATTTCGAGCGCCGCCAGTAGCAGCGCTTGGCGTCCACTAACGGCGCGCCGGTGGACGGCGGCCGACAGAACAGCGAGGGGCGCCACCTGTGGTGGGGCGTCCCCGGCCGCACACTCGAGGGCGTGCTGACGTACCTCGAGGGCGGCAACGACCCGCTGTTGGCGTACCCGGCGAGGGCGGCCGCCCCGGCGCAGCACCGACGCGCCGGGCCATGGGCGCCTAGGAGGTTCGGGTCCTCCTCCTCTTCTTCCTCCTCCCGATCTTCATCGCACTCCTCCGGCACTCCAGCCCTGCTCGGCGTCAAGGCCGAGCCCGCGGCGGAGACGCCGCTCGGCCGGCGCACTCGCAGCGCCGGCATCGTCATCAACGAGGGCGGCCGGCGCGCCTACTCGTCGGCTCCTCCTCCGCACTTCGTCAAGACAAAGACGGAGCCGGGGCTCGCGCCGGTGAAGAAGGAGCCGGCCGCGCCGGTGACGACGGAGCTCGACGACGACGGCGCGGCCCTGGAATGGGCGCGCAGGGACTCCATAGCGATGGAGAAGGAGCGCCTGGAGAAGGCGAAGGAGCGCCAGTGCGCCGCCCTGCTTCGCTTTGCGGAGCGTCGACGCGGCCGCGACGAAGGCGGAGTCGTCGTCATCTACGACAGCGACGAAGACGACGACGATGCGCCGCCACTAGTCCGCCATGGCGACGCCGGGCAGGGGTCCAGCAGGGGCGCCCGTGTCAAGGAGGAGAAGGCCGACGACAACGATGGTGGCGACGGCGGCGACTTCAGCCAGTTTTTCCTTTAGATTAATTTATGTATATGTGCTATGTAATGAAAATCCGCGAGCTTCGCCGAAATGGGCCGAAATTTATCGTGTTTGGCCGAAATTTATCATGTTTGGCCGAAATTTATCGTGTTTAAGCCGAACTTCGCCGAACTTCTTTTATTTTCAAACGTGCCTGGGGGCGGCCCTGGGGCCGGCGGCTGGGGACCAACTCGCCCCTAGGCCCAATTTTTGCGCCGGATCACCCCCAGGCGGCGATTTTAGGCGCCCCCTGGGGGGCCAACGGCTGGAGATGCCCTAATTCCGCTATGGGCCAAAATCTGAAAAAGCTGTATCAGCTGGTTTGCCAAATGACCTACATATTTTTCACATCAGATTTTCCACAGCAGATTTTTCACAGCTGCTTTTAGAAATCCATGGCCGAACCAAACAGGGCCTAAGCGTGAGTATAGAATAGCTTATTCTACACCCCCTAGTAATGGTACATATAAAATCTAGTAAAACGGTGTACACAATGTAGTAATTCGGAAAATATTTTTTTATCTCCCAAGTTTGTAATTTACAACATTTTTACGAAAATGTCTATATTTTACATAGTGTGTTACTATATTTTGTGTTACTAGATATATCATAAGCAATCAGAGAAAGAGAACAAGGAATTAATCATGCATACCTTGTAATCTTTTAGTCCGAACATAGAGGTTCTCCCCTCCTTGAGTGTGGTTCTCCATGTCGATCAAATCTCCCATCCATACCAGGCATCTTGTGTCATCCCCATCAATATCCATGTTGCTCATCTTGGAATAAGCATATGCCACACAGGAGCAATTGCTTCTGCATTCCTCCGTGCACTCATCAAAGCTTCTGCTCGGGACATGTATGAACTTGTCAGGGACCTTCATGCCTGGAAAGACCAAGAAACCGTCTCCATGGGTGCACCTCTGCACCTCCTTCTGGCGGCATCCATGTGAGAAGCCATCGGCGATCCATCCTTCACCATCCCTCGGCTCAAAACCTTCAAGGCACTTGCAAACTGGGACAACTTCTGTATTGTCGCAGTAACCATAAAGACCACAGTAGCCGTACATATTGCACTCATGTTGAGGCTCTGCATACAGGGCTCTCCATGCAGACATGTTGCTCTCCCAGATTAGTAGATTTACCTTGCCCAAGTAGTCAATCTCCATCCTGACCAGCAGGACGAAGTAGCCAATCGGCATGATGAAGGACATGTACACCTCGTCACCGGCGTGATGTAAGGCCATATAAATGGTAGACTCGTTGAATCCACCAACATAGAGGTAATTTGTCCACACCGGGCTTCGCCGGTGTGGCCTCGAGCCATTCCAGACGAAGCACTGGAGGAGGCTGCTAGGGTCTGCGCCGTAGGAGAACTCACCGGGGGATGGGTCATGTAGGCCTTTCCAGGAGACGAGGTGCTGCAGTGGAAGCGTGTTGTGGCTGAGCCTGAGGTTCATGCCGGGTAGGAGAGTGTCGGTAGGGTGGTCGAAGCTTTGCCATAGGATGGTACTATCAGTTAATGATCTAAGGATGAAGTTGCCAGTGTTGTCCAACACTGCTTCCACCGAGATGGAGTTGATGTTGATGCTGTTGTACGTTGTCCAGAAGACACGACCATTGTTATCAGACAAGACTATGTCGGAGCTGCCGGTGACGGCAAGATTTGCAGAGGAAAGGTTAGTGGTGATCGGCGCCGCACGGTTAGAAACCCATACCACCGTGCGCTCCGGGATGTCGTTGTACCATATGCCAACATAGTGATGGTTCTTAGTGGAGTTGTACGGGGAGAAGAATCCCAGGGCAAACACCCCATCTTGAGAGACGAGGACACTGCCAGGGGAGAGCGGCTTGCCAGCGACAAGCCGATTATCGGATGAGCAAATAGGCACCGAACTGAATGGCCAAGAAAGAAGCAAAAGAATAGCGTACACAGGAAGGGGAGAATACATTGGCATTCTTGGCCTTCTGCTTGCTTGCAGGATCATGGTGGAGTACAATATCTTTGAGGCGCTTGCAATGAGAATGAGTATGGGGTCACCCGACTAGGGAATATATACACAGTGTATAGAACCAATCAGAGCGCCATGCTGCCTTGGATTGGATACTTGGACCCCAGAGGAATGAAAGAGTGGTTGAGTTGTTCTAAATTTGTTCCGGAAGTTAGGCACCAGCGGTCAGGTCTGTTGAGATTGAAAAGGACATGAGGCGGAAAAAATATGTGCTTCTTAAATGGCGGCTAAGAAATCTAATACCTCACGTCTCGTCCTATGCTAGACCAGATCAACAACATGGTCATTCACTCGTACATCCAAAGTTCTAGAGCCCTTGCCCTTGCCTTTCTTCTTGCTATTGCCTTTCAACAACATGGCCTTTCTTCTTGCTCTTGCCTTCCATGCAAAAGCTACAGATCTGCAAAGAAGTCCGGCGCGAATCCGTTCAATCTCTTGCCCTTGCCTTTCTTCTTGCTCCTCGACCCTGTCCAACAGGACCGCACAAGCAAGGGTAACCATGAGAAACTCTGATGATGCGGTAGTAGCAACAGAGGCATCGGTTGCTTTGATACAAGGCAGGCAGTATGTAGTAGTGTGCTAGTACAAGTACCATGCAACATGTTGAATATCTATTTTGCGGGCGTGCATGTTGCATTACTTGTGCCGGTCGACAAAAAATTTGAAATTTGGTACTCCTATTTTTGAATTCGTATAAACTAGCACAAATGCTCGTGCGTTGCTACAGGAGAAAACATTGGTTCCAATGAACAACGGTTGGCCTATTTGAGAAACTGTGTCGTGGTACAATGGACGCTCATGAGAAAAAATGGATCATTTGAGGATTGCGCATGAGCTCATGACACGGGGCCGGTATTATTCGGAGTAAATTTATGTTTATGAACCAGAAAAATTAGCAATATCAATAATCTTAAGTAATTGCAGGAGCAAGCAAACCAACCTAGAATAACAATTGCAGCAGCAATAAGCAATTCCAAACATCATTTTGGTCCATTTAGCACAAGATGAGAGCGCTGCGGGTGGAGAGGGATGGGCGTGCTGAGGAATTCGATCGGGTGCACTTTGGAGCATATTCTTTGATTGTTTAATAACTGCTACTTCTAAATGATGCATCATTGTAACCTTTACAAAATTATTACATGTCAACACTAAGGTGATGGACGAAAGGTTTATACACGTGCACTTTGTGAACTTCCACTCCTTTCCGCAGACTGGTAAATTCACGTGTAGTCAATGGGCAGTGTTTATCCCAATCACTGCAAATAACCACCATCCGTCCCGAACCAAAGGAATATTCTAAATCCGAAAGCACCGGTAGTTAAGTTTTAATTTTTTTGTAGAAAGCTAAAACTCAAATTGTTGACCCTACTGATTTACAGCCAACGAAACCTCAGATACATGTCTAAAGTTCATTAGGGCTGCCAACCAACACACAAAAGCTCCTTTTTGGGAACATCACACATGTCATGTTCACTTGTTTAGAGCAAATGGAAGTTTTCTCCACCAAGTAAATCAACCTTGACAAAAGAATAAAGTTACCAGATGTCCGTACATAATCATTTTGCACAAACATACGCCACCTACACTGGAGAACAAAGTTGTCCAGCAACCAACAAAATGTTCAAATTACTTTATAAAGACTGACGATTTTTGTTATGATGAAACCTTCAAAATTGTGTACCAAACGTTCGGATCAAAGAAAATGTAGGATCCTCGTTCATACAATGAAATTTTCAAAGAGGTGCCACATCTGGAGTCCGTGTGAGCCATACACGATACTCTCTCTAGTAAAACCACGCTAAATATAGGTCATTTGACATATTTCAGTTTTACTTTGGGTTTTCTAGATACGACTTACTAATTCCAGGACACCGGCAGGCATGTTGTCTTAATTTGCTTTTGCAATATCAGAAAGAAAGCTGCAGATGTTCAGCTTTTTTCTAATGTGAGTTGTAATTTGGGTAACATAATATTCAGAATGACTGTACAGATGACTCTTCCATGATCTACTTTTCTGAGTAAGATATTTACATATAAAGTAGGCAATCCTTTGATGTTTAAGTACTTCTCAGGAGCTGAATATATGTCCTATGGAAATTTCTTACCAGATTTTGGAAGAATTTTCGTATCAACAGAGGCCGCTCAGCTGTCATACTCAACAATTCAATGTACAATCTACTGAAATCGACAATTTTTCTTTCGAATACGCACAAACATGCGTACCATGTATAGATAGAAGAAGTATTCCCTCCATTTTTATATACAAGGTCACTATGAAATATACGTTTTGCATCTATACAAGGCCATCAACAGTAATCGAGGCAAAATTAATGGTATTTTCTCGTACTAGCAACCTGTTTAATAGTTGCATGCATGCAATCATAATGACAGTCAGCTATTTCTCCATTCAGTTTTCTTGCATGCATGTGGGGTATTAATGACCCCATTATACGAAAAGAAAAGCTGACTTGCAAAGCAGGCATTAAATTTTACATTGGTACCTGTAATTTGACTTTGTGGCTTTGTATATAAAAATGGAGGAAGTAGCTAAGATGAACAAGACAAACGCCTTTCAGCAAAGTGTTACACCAAAAGGTTAACACCCATATCCACCAAGGCAACACCGACACACAACTCGCCTTGCCCAAACTTAAGCCAAACAATGGCGAAGAGGACAGACACAGAGCACACTAAGGCGCGGGAGGGAGCTGATGCGCTCACTAGAGTGGCCGAGAAATGCTAGACTTACGGACAGATTCCTGCGGATTTTTTGTCACGGACTCACGTGTGAAGTTGTGGTTGGAGAAGATTAGGGAAGGGAGGTCCCACCAGCTGAAATTATGAGTATTAGTTGGTCAGAGAGGAGTCCGTAGAACCATTCAGTATCAGATTTTCGTAAGTTTAGGATTTTCGAGAGTGGCCTGCTAAAGCTGACGGGGGAGGCGCGGTCGCGGGGAAGGCTGCAGCAGCGAGGAGACCAAGGAAGGGATGCGGAGTTCGATTCGATCACGATGGAGGCATGGAGGGTTCGCGCTGGGGTGCGGAGAGTGGGGATCGGGATGCGGGGTAGCTAGCTTAGGATTGTGGTCATGGGGATCGAGTGCTGGCTGGGCCTTACGTGGGCTAATATATCTTTTTTTACGGGAAAATATACCTGGCTTAGGTTGTGCTGGTGTTGCTTGTTCGACGCTTCGACGCTGCTACTAGACTGGAGAGGGAGAGATACCAACTACAAGATGTATATGTTAGCACAGATTCGGTGCTGCTACTAGACTGGAGAGAGAGAGATACCAACTAGAAGTTGTATCAGCACAGATTTGGTGCTGCTGTATATGTTAGCATTTAATTCATTCTTAATATTTATTAACGTCTATCATACTTTAAGAAAACCGAGAAAATATATCTGTGTTCTTCTAGAATTTAAATAAGTATATATGAAAACTATATCTTAAAGTATTCGTTGTAGTAACATGTGTGTTACCGTCAATTGCTAGAATTAATATTCACATCCTTAGTAAGTGCTTTTTGTAGT